AAGGGGCTGGAGAGATGGCTCGGCAGTTAAGAACACTGACTGTTCCTGCAGAAGACCCAGGTTCAAATCCAGCACCCACATGGCAGCTGGCAACTCCATAACTCCAGTTCCAGGGAATCCAACAGCCTCTTCTGTCCTCCATAGGCTTTGGACAACACAGGTGCACTTATCTACATGCAGGCAATACATGTGTACACATAAAATAAATAAATAAATAAAATATTTTTTTAAAAAAAGAATTATGTCAGAGCTAGGGAGATAACTCAATTAGAAGAGGGCTTACCTTAAAAGCATAGGACCTTTGTCTGATACCCAGAACCCACATAAGTAAAGCCAGACTGGGTGGTGCACACCTTTAATCACAACTCTGGTGGATGTCTGGGACCCCCTGGCCAGAAAGCCTCGCCTACTTAATAAGTTTCAGGCCAGTGACAGATTCTGTCACAATGTAAAGCTGGCTAGTGAGGCACACCACTCCAATATTGTCCTCTGCCCAGTCCACACACATGTGCACCTGGACACACATGGACAAACACACAAAGAATAAGGTTAAAGTTACCCACATATTCCATCAACTTTGAAGTCACATATACATCAGTGATGCCATGCACGTGCTAATTTGCTTACCAAGTTTTAACCAGTGATTAAAAGATAATAATAGGACTGGAGAGATGGCTCAGTAGTTAAGAGCATTGACTTTTCGTGCAGAAGACCTGGGTTTGAATCCCAGCACCCACATAGCAGCTAACAACTGTCCATAACTCCAGTTCCAGGGGATCTGACAGCCTCTTCTGTCCTCTGCAGGGATTGCACAACATGGGTGCACTTACATACATGCAGGCAATACTTGCAAACACATAAAATAAAAATAATATTTTTTAAAAGCTAATAACAACTGTGAAATCCTTCGGACTCTCTCACCAGCTGAGTCTTTCTCTTGTCAGTTGATCCTTGTACCCAGTTAGCCATTGGACTCTTTCTGACCCTGGCTCGATTTAGGATTCCTTCTCATTTTAGAGTCCTTGTCTTGAAGCAGTTCATCTTCAGTTGTTTTCTGTCTAGGTGGGTTAATGTCATATCTGTTTCTTGTGTGGTTATTCCATGGGCAGGGGGCTCATTAGGGTGCATGCATTTATTGATGTCATGATGATGTCCACACAAAATGCAACCTCACTCTACAGGGGATCAGAGTCAGTTTATTTTGATCTGTGTGTGAATGACCGTGACCCAGGAACGTGGATTCAGGTTGCCCTGGGTAACATGTTCCAATATAGAAAGGGTGACGTGAATATTTTGCAGTCACATAACCAAAGAAAGCCATAAATCTATGCATTCGCCAAATGCATTGGTGGGAAGATCAAGAAGGAAGACGACAGGAAAGCTAGTGCAGGAGGGGCATCTGCTGCAGGCCGCAGATGCTGAGGGAATTCTAAGCTTTTGGATTGGTGGAAGGTAGCGGTCTGTTAAATGAATACGTTGAAAGGTTTCATCTGATATCACAAGGACAAGTCAAATGCAGACATGGATCATAAATGGGTATTAAGGGTAAAAAGGGTAGCCCAAGATAATTTTGGTTCTGGCTCTGCAACATTCCAACACTCCGCAACCACAAGAAATGTGGATCAGTATGCTGCATACCTTTCATTGTCAACTTGACACACCTGCGTAGGGGGAGCCTCAATTGGGGAATTGCCTCCATTGGACTGGCCTGTGGCCATGTCTGTGGGGCATTTTATTGATTGTTGAGTGATGTGGGAGGCCCAGCCTACTGTGGGTGGTGCCATGCCTGGGCAGGAGGTCCTATGTTGTATAAAAAAGCAGGCTGAGTATTAGCCAGGAGAGCGAGTCAATAATCAATGTTCTTCCACGGCCTGTGCTCCAGCTCCTGCCTCCAGGTTCCTGCCCTGAGTTCCTACCTTGGGCTCCCTCAGTGAACTGTGACCAGGGAGATGTGAGTTAAGCAAACCCTTTCCTCTCCAAGTCAGTGTTGGTCAGAGTGTTTTGTCACAGTAATTGAAGGCAAACTAGAACAATTAGTCAATATGGAATCTTTATTGTAGGTGTTGCGTTTTTCAAGGAATTTAACTGCCTCCAGGTTCCTGCCCTGAGTTCCTACCTCGGGCTCCCTCAGTGAACTGTGACCAGGGAGATGTGAGTTAAGCAAACCCTTTCCTCTCCAAGTCAGTGTTGGTCAGAGTGTTTTGTCACAGTAATTGAAGGCAAACTACAACAATTAGTCAATATGGAATCTTTAATGTAGGTGTTGCGTTTTTCAAGGAATTTATTTGTATAATACTACCTCTGCAAACCTAAGAGCAACACAGCTCACACAACAGATTGTGTGTCTCTGTCTGTATGTGTATGGGTCTCTGTGTGTACTTTTGTATGTATTTGTGTGTGTCCGTGTGTCTATGTCTGTGTATTACCTCTGCAAACCTAAGAGCAACACAGCTCACACAACAGATTGTGTGTCTGTGTCTATATGTGTATGGGTCTCTGTGTGTACTTTTGTATGTATTTGTGTGTGTCCATGTGTGCATGTCTGTGTGTTTGTGCTTATCTCTGTATCTGTATGTGTCTGTGTATGCCTGTGTGTGACTCTGTATATTTGTGCGTGTGTGTGTGTGTGTGAGAGAGAGAGAGAGCGAGAGTGAAAGAAAAGAAAGAGAAAGAAAGAAAGAAAGAAAGAACAAAAGAAAGAAAGAAAGAAAGAACGAAAGAACGAAAAAGTTTAGTATAGCTTGTTCACAAAAGCCAAGAGCCTATCACTCCCTTCAGGAACTCCTGAAAGCAGACTATATGTATCTCTTCTTTTATAATCACTTAGAAATAATTTTTAAGCAGTTCTGAAAATAATATGTGGTTATGCACAGCCGTGGGCACAGTCTCGGTGTGAGCTGATCAACATACTCTGGAAATCACAGGCTTCTGTCTTGGTCAGGAGCCCCGATTCTAAGCTTTCACAGCAGGAGGAGGAAACACGAGGTACGCTTTGATCTCCTGACAAAATGAGGCATCCTGACAAGATGCTACTGTCAAAATAGTTTACTTCACAGCAAAAAGAGATTCTTTGAAGAAATATGCTCAAAGCAAAGCATGTACTTATTTTATTTGCAAACAAAAATAAGTCTTTTTATACTCACAGGTGGAAAATCAGACTCTGGAAGCCCCTCCTGAAGGCTCAGTCAATGTGCTTGTCAGAACAGAGGGATCCCGGGGGGCCTACATGAAGTGGGAGGCACCTCTTCACCCTAATAGGCGCTTAACCTACTCAGTTGCTTTTACTGGGAATTTCTATGCCGAGCAAGGTAATTCGTCTGCCAATTTTATATCTTCGATAGCATTAGAAATGATTTATTTGTTCTTGAAATTTTTCTTTTAGATTCAGATATTGATTTTGTACTTTTCTTAAAATTATGTAATCCAGTAGATGAACTGGACTTACTGTCCCTGGTGTATGGTGCCCAGAGCTACAATAGCCAAAGCTGATGGGTGGGCCCAGTACCCCATGTCAGCACCTTGCAGATGGCTCTGATGCTCACATTCAAGTCAGAGAGAGAACTCGACACACAGGATCGCCTTTATCCATGGTGTTGTTCCTGGCATTTTAGCTGCTGTGGTCAAATAGTACATTAATATTAAATGCAAACTTCTAGAAAGCAAAGATGACATCCACAGTTTCTATCCTAGTATATTCTTATAATTGATCAATTCAATTATTATTTATTGCCAGGCTCTGACTTTATAACTGACAAATTAAACGTAATAGAGAACACACCTAGGTTTTGGTGCAGTCTGTGGTTTCAGCCATCCCTTGGGATGCAGAAGCAGATCTCCAGCCGAGAAACAGTAACTGATGGATGTCGTTTACTTGCCGAAAATGGATTCAAACCTGAAATACACCTCATGCAAAGATTTGAGCTTTAATTTCGCTCTTCATCTCAAATAAGCCATTTCTCATGGCCACTTGAATAATTCTTAAGTAAATTGGTAGTTTTAGTGTGGTTTCTATCAAATTGAACATGGATTAGACTATTTGGGGTTCCTTGAAAATACAGTTAGCGTCTGTGTCAACATGATTCTTACTGTAGGCGAAGCTTGCTTCAGGGATGTGCTTGCCAAAAAATTTGAATTCTCACTTTAGTAATGGCTTCCTTTTATTTTTTTTCCCAGAGGTCATGCTGCTTTTATACAGGAGGTTTTCAGTATTTGTTAGTAAACTAGTAGCAAACAACAGTGTATCATGGACAGTCACATGTGCTAATTAAAAAAAAATGATCTTCAGATTAAAATAATTTATTTGCTTCTGTGTTATCTCTACATGTAAGACTTAATAGCATTCCCAAAAGTGTAAAAACAGGTGAAAGGAAAGAAAAGCAGACCTTTTGTTGAGGATGACGTCCTTAAACTTGGGTAGGGCGCAGGTAAATGCACAGTGAATAGATTGGGAGTCAGAGGCTGACCTGATCCTCTCAAAGAATGGTGTGTCCCTTTTTTATGCAATCAGAGCTTTGATGTATTCTGCTGTGAAGTACTTGTAAGATTATCAGGTGAAGGAGTGATGATCGATTTAGAAAAAGAAGCAACATTTAGGCCAGACCCATGACAGCCCAGCTCTTTCCACACGGGCAGCTGGGTGAGTAATGTAACAGCCATATTCCCCCTTGTGTTTAATCTTGCATTGTTTTTGCAGAGAAAATTTCTGCTTGCCTTCTAAGTCCTGTCATCTTTGGTTGTCATCCCGTCTCTCAAACCATCAAAATGGTATTAAATGTTGCAAAGCTGCGCAGCAAGAGAACTTTCAAAAGTCAGAACCCATTTGCTGAGCAGCCCTTGTAGAAAATGTATTCTGTCCTCGGCAGGATTTTCCTTCAGTTCTTTCCACTGAGAAGTTTACTGATTTCTCCCAGTGGAATCTGCTGGAATTTATCGGTTCATGGTTGGCAGTCACAGATTAAGGTAAATGTCGATCCGTAATGACCCTCTGCATGTTAGTACTGCAGTAAAGCTGGGCTTTTATGTCAAAGATGTCGGAGAGGGAGCTATTACACATGACAGGGGTGATCAAGGGACTCCAGACCAAGGCAAGCATTATTAAATATTGACTAGTTCTGTGATTTATGTAGAGCTGGAGGAAAAAAGTGACTTTTTAACCATTATATATTCTTCAGCAACGAAAACCAGCCATTTATCTCCCGCTGGCAATGAAGAGTTCTGCATATTTTAGTGGAGGGAAAACCTGGTCTTATAAATGAGATGAACTCCTTCGTGATAACATTTCAGTTTGTTAATTGCCAAAAGCAAAACAGACAAATTGGAAGCAATTACAAGATTTGACTTAGTTCTGTGGTGTGCGTTCGACTCTGGGGTCACAGGGGGCAAGGTGGGAAGCAGGGGGGAACATCTTGTAATGGGTGCTGGGAACCTCCTCTCATTGGCTCTTGTCACTAGAAGGCTAGTCTCCAATGTTCAGTACAAAGATTTCGACATCTTGTCCTGTCGCCCATCAGCAGCTGGGTGACATCTGCACTGAGCATTCTGCATGGCTCTTCAAGAGAGGACTGAAGCGCTAATTCATCAAAGGTGTTCAAGATATCATCAGCTAGACAGATTTATACAAAGCTTATTGAATTGTAGAATGGCTACTTGGTCAGTTCCTTGACATAAAGAACAACTATACTTCATCTACCTGTGATGGCTGCTAAATAGGATAGAACTTGCAACATGAGAGGAACAAACCAGACTTCACAAGTGCCTGTAGCTGGGATCCTGACTCCCAAGCCGGGATGCCCAGCTCTCTCTAGAGACACCCACCCACAAGTCTGTTCAGCATGTCAACTCAGATCCTCAACAAAAAATTTTACCAAGTCAACATCAGGTTTCATAACGAGTGAGGCAACATCCATATCAAAGTAAGATTTTTTTCGTAAAAATCATCTGCTTTTGATCAGATGTTATTTTTCTTTGAATCAGAATTTAAAAGACAAACATAAGCAGCTAAAATTCCTAACCAGTTCTGAAGACTCAAAGAAAAATGTATCACTTTCTTATATCATTTTATAAATATATATATATATATATACACAAAAGACATGTATTTCTCCCATTAAATATTTATATTCCTCTTCCCCCACAAAACCTCTTATACAAATAACGCAAAATTGTGTGCATGATTCTGCCCCATTTTTTTTGTCTAACTCAATAATTTCAGAGACGTAACGTGAACGTCTCCCTCATTGCTCACACCTTCACCACGTTCACTTGAGGAGCTTGTATCCTTATTAGTCTAACCAGTTCCCTATTCATCGATATTTGTCTGGAATCTTTTGCTGCAAAGAGCACCTCAGTGAACAAACACACAGGCATGCATTTTACATTTTTCAGGTACATTCATGAGATAAATTCGGAAATGTTATTTGTAAGTTTATAAGGTATTGACACATTTCACTTCAGAGAAGCTGTGCAGTTTAGGAACTGTTTATGAGCACCAGGCTATCTGTCAAGAGCATGTTATCAGACAGAGCTTTCCTGACTTGGTGTGCTAAAGACAGCACCCTGTGCCATCCTGGACACACATTTCTCTTCTCCCTAGTTGGAACATATTTTCATGTGTAAAGCATTTGAATATGAACATACGTTTCTTCTGTGAATTCCTCATTTATATTTTTTCTCCTGATTTTACTGAGCTGCAGGAGTTCCTTAGATAGTAGGAAAATCTGTCCTATGGGTCACAAATGCCTCTGTTGTTTTGTCTAATACTTCAATGCATTCTTTTAAAAACATTTATGTTTGATCTACATGGAATCTGTATTGATAGAAAATGTACAGTGCATGGATCAAACACCAAGCATCAAAGTAATTTATTAAATGACCCACCTTGTTCCATGCTGGTTTAAAAGCCCTTACTGTCCACCTTACCTACAGGCATGTGTGGACAGAGCTGAACCTTTATCTACGTTACCACAGCACTTTCATTATTCAAGCCTGTTTATCTGGACTTTCTCATCATTTATTTTGTGGACTTTTTTTCTTTATTCCCCTTCAATGTTTATAAAATTCTAATTCTCTACATAGCTTGTGTTGCTGTTCTTGATAATGGTAGCACTGAATGTATAGGTAATAGAATTAATATCTTCATGGTGTTACGTTTTTGAATCAGTATGATCACATTTTGTATTGGGTCTCCACCTCTCCAACTTTCTTCTCATAGACCTGCACGTTTCCATTGTTTGTTCTTCAGTATTTTATAACAACATGTGGTGTTATATAACTGTAAATTGTAAAATGTGCATTTAGATGTTCATGTCAATAAATAACACTAAAAATCTACTTTTAAGAAATGACACAGACTTCACTCTCAGATCAATGTCTCAGAAAACTGCACCTGCAAGTGCTTACAGCTATTAATGGCCATTCACCTGTACACATACCTGCAGTTTTGTTGCTAGCATTCGGTATCACTGTCCCTGAAGCACAGGAATTTTGCCAGGTAGAAAGAACCTGACTAGTTGGACTGGCAACTAGTTTTTAGCTAGGTCTCTAAAACAGCACCAAAGTTCAGACCCAGAGGAGCCCTGTACACTGGGGAGATGAGGTGGGTTCACCACACAGGCCACTGTCAGGCATGTAAGGTAAGAAAAACCCAGGTGCTGGAAATAACAACCTGGGCAGAGCTAATCCGGGAAAGACTTGGGGGAAAGCTGGCCCTTCTGCCTTGTTTTAATTATAGATTGCAGTAGCCTAACTCTGGAAGCACAGAGAATGACAGACAAGCACACATACAAAGGGCAAAATTCAATAGTTCACCCAAACCACACTGAAAGGTGATAGACTACATTTCCCGCCATTTGCCATGTCTACCATAGTAAGAATTAGTGCTTAGTTCTGTGGGATAGCACCTGCCCTGTCTCATCCATCCAAGTACAAGAGACATATGATGTAGATTCATTTTCCTAGGGTATGCAGGTGCCGTCTATTGACCTAAAAGTAGTGCTTTTCCCTGTGGTTCTCAGGAATACATCAGTCACTTTGCTTAGGCGAACTGTCAATTCCCAGTGATCAGCAGACAAAACCTTCAGTATTTATTTATCTTCATATATATTTGTTAACAATTTTAATTATATGTAACAGGTTTGTAATAGTTGCATACATATTTAATTTGTGATTTTTAAAATAAATTTGTAATTTAATAAAAACTGCAATAAATTCCAACATACTACTAGAAACCTGTTTCACATGAAACTGGTTTCGAAATTATAAATACTATTTATAGAACTAGGTATGTGGAAATAATCTGTGCTGAGAATTT